CCCATTGTTCATCCTGGCTAAATGAACCCTAGTCTCGTGGTGCCAGACTCCACCCCTTTCTGACATTTGGACAGCAGGGTAGGACTACCCTGCCATCCAAATGTCAGAAAGGGGTGGTGTCTGGCACCGTGAGACTAGGTGAACCCCACCCTGTTACAAGATTTAATTTTTTATTTTAGCAGATATAATAGACTAATGTAATCGGGATTGGCAAAAGGATCACGTGAGTGCATCGTTTGCTGCCGGTTAGGGTGGAGCTTTAAGTGGGGTTAACCACACCCACTCAGCCTATTTAGCCTTGGCATAGTCTCAGTTATGACATTCATAATCCCTTAGGCATACACCTTTAGGGTTATGAATATCACTTGTTTATATCTGATACACCACTCGAGGTCATGTTTTATATTATTAGAGTCTACTAAATAAGTTAAAGTTTATGAACCTAAAATCCAGCAATTTGATTGGTCAATTAAAACTATGCATGGTAGAAGTAGACTATCTAATAATTATTATTGGCCTAAAAGTATTCAGGCTCCGCCTGACTAGCCTAAAAGCATCTCTGGGGGACTTTGGGAGCTAAAAGAATGGCTGATGATGTTGCTCTTCAGATTGAAGTGAGTTGTATGAGTTTATAGTTAAATTTTGAGCAAAACAGTCAAAAGCTGCTCTTTTTCTGGCAGCATGTTGCTACCGTGCTGAAATACAAGATCAAAGTAACCATGTGTTGCAAGCAAAATGTTCTTCCCCACTATGCAGTGTACGTACATGTACTAACAAACCATAAATGCTTCTCCAGTATAGACTTGGCTCAATTAGAGACAGTATCTCTATTTAGTTGAACGCATATACAAAGCTAGGAGATTACACTAAACACCCTCTGATTCTGAATATGGATATTATCATAATTTATGCATTCTCTGCTCTTTTTTATCCTGCTACTCATCTTCATCTCTCTCCCATATTAGCCTTTGAGTAGTGGCTCTGAAGACAAAGCTGGTCAGTTTAAAACAGGATCCTTTGTGTATTTAATAGTATCATAATTTATGTAGCCAAGGTTGTTGCTACTACCTCTTTTGATGGCTTGGACCACAACAGTTTTCCTACCCAAGTCTCTCCTAATATAGGTAAATTCTATGACAACATTGTTTCATAACTAGAAGACTAAAATATTTGAAGGGGCTTAGCCTCCAAGCAACACATTGTTGTGCTTTATGATCTTCCCTGCTGCTAAAGAAGTTTTTGTATAGCAGCGTAGTCTTATCTTGCTATCCGTTTGTGCAAATGAGCACAGAATTGCTAATCAAATAAGTTTGGTTACTGTGCAACAGGAAATATTGTAAAATTAGTGCATAGGAATAGAGGATATGCGTGCTAAGTATATTCATAGCAAAATAAATGTATTCATTGCATACCGTAATAACTTTTAAGAAAAAAAATTAGTTCGTTGGACGTCAACTTTCCATTGGCAGCAATGGAGAAATGATAGAAAAAGGCTTGGTACCAGAAAACCGCTCTGCATTTCTTGATAGCAATCTTTCAGGTGACTACTAGACCCCATTAGATCCTCAGGATGCTTTCTAAGCTTCCAAAAAAGGCCTCAAGAAGGTAGCAAGGCAAGAAAATGTGTTTTCCCCCATTGAACTCTTAATAAACTTGATGTCCAACATGGCGGCCAATTTACTGTGTAGGTTGGATATACGGTACTAAAAAGCTATGAATATACTTAGCACGCATATCCTCTATTAAAAATTAAATGCATAAAATTTGATCACAGAGATAAGTGTGGTCTAACTATTGACTAACTTGATGGTTGAAGCACTGTGAATTATTTTACTCATGACAAATGCGGCATAAGCACTTGTGTATAATTGATACTCTTTTTGCATAATTATTTTTAAGTACATGTCTACTTTATATCAGGAGTGTAACACATTGTAGCTACATATTGTGTAGTGGGTTCTTTTGGTTTTGAAGGAAATCCAACTTCATGCTAGGGTTTTATTTTCATTCTGTGGATGAATGGATCCCATCTTCTCTGTGTTTATCAATTTTGGGGGGTTTTTTTGAAAAAGTTGGGCCATTAAAAGAAGCCAGTTTTACAGTATTATCATATCATTTTACAATCATATTTTAAACATTAAATTATCATATCCTTTTGATTCTGCAGATAAAAATTATGGTTTCACGCCACTTCACAAAGCTTGTAAGAATAGTAGCTTTGAAAAGGTTTATAAATTGATGCATAGCAATGATACTTCAATTTTTGCTACTGATAATGATGGGCGTACACCACTTCATTATGCTTGTGAAGGGGATGATAAAAGAATTGTTGAGCTTCTTATTCAGAAGAGTGCTGGTTGTGTCATGTCTGATTTGAATGGAATTGAAGAAGTTCTAATACTTAATGATCCTGGTGTTCAATCTAAAGTTAAAGAGTATATCAATTGCACTGATAATCTAAAAGTAAGAGATAGCCATTATTATTAGTATTAATATCATTAGTAGTAGTAGTAGTAGTAGTAGTAGTAGTAGTAGTAGTAGTAGTAGTAGTAGTAGTAGTAGTAGTAGTAGTAGTAGTAGTAGTAGTAGTAGTAGTAGTAGTAGTAGTAGTAGCTAGCAATAGTAGTAATGAGAAAAATGCCTAAACAAATCTCAAAAACAAAAACTATACCTAATAAACCTAGTCTAACAAAACAAAACCAACAAAATGAACGAAGAGAAATTATTATTATTATTATCACTAATTTAGTTATAACACTAAACAAAAACATCAACAACA